AAAACCCTATAGAAAACGTTTGGAGGTTAATGAAAATTAATATACAAAAAAAAAATTCGATCAATTAGAGGGTTAAAGGAAGAACTTACAAAAGAATGGAATCGATCATCATCTGTACTTGCTGCAAATTTAGTAGCTAGCATAAAAAGGCATACAACTACACTTATAGAGTCAGATGATGACTACATAATGTATTAATTTTAGTTAGTTAATTATGTATTTTTTAATAAAAAAAAAAATTTTGAATTTATTTACTTGTAGCCAGAGTTAGAGGCGGTCAGATACTTATGACCGCTACTGTATGTAGACAATCTTGTTTTTTAATATTTTTTGTAATATCACAATAAACTACAAATTAAATTTTATATCGAAAATAAACTATATAATAATATATATTAAACTAGTAATAAAATATATAATAATATTTTATATATTCATTTATTATTAGCATTAAAATTAATAAAAACTATATCAGCAGTCATTTTGAAACTAATTTTTCTAATTCATGCAGATAATTTTATTGATCTTAAATTTTATTTAAATTTTAAAGTAGTTGCCAAAATGAATCTTTTTTATCATTAAAACTATTTGTTACAGTATTAATAATTGTACTTTTATCTATTTTTTTAAAAAATAAAATAATAATTCTTAATTTAATAATAATAAAAAAATATATAATATAAAATTTACCATTAATAAATGACTTTATTAATGTTAAATATATCTTGCATTTTTGTAGGATAATTTGAAGATAATAAAGGATTTGAAGGTAATAAAGAATTTGTTAATACTATTTGTATAATAATGATAGAATTACTATTTTAATAATATTAAAAGAATAAAATATATTATATATAATACTTCATTATTATTAACCGCTATTTTAAATCTAAATGTTTAAGCAAGTTTCATTACATTATTATATTGCATTTTAGTTTCTAGTTACTCATATCTTGTTAAATCCTATTAAGAATTGTTTCTTGAACTTGGAAAAATTTAACCTTTTAATATTTGAACAAGAATTTTTCATTCTGAATGATTATTAATTTTACAATTATCCAAATTGATCCTGTATTGATAGTTAATTGTTTTATAAATAATTTAAGTTTTTTTCAGAAACCTGTTCTTTATAATACCATTGTCTATTAAATTCAACTATATTAAAATTTTAAATTAAAAAATAATTATTCTAGTTAAAATTATTTATATTAATACTTATATTCATTAATATTATATGGTTTCAAATAAAATTTGAGTTTGCTTGAACTGGATGCTTAGTAAAATGTTTTTTACACATTTTAATAATTTTAGGCATTTCAGGTGATTTAATATAATCAACACCGAATTTATTAGTTTTAGATTTATAAAGAATTACTTCAAATCCTTTATAGCAATCATTTTTTTGTGAAAAACTATTTATATTATAAATTAAAATATTCACCCACCATGTAATCCTAATATGATTGCATTAAAAAAACACCTGATATAATAAATCAGATGGAGTATCCCCAGTCATAATTGGATGATTCATAATATGTAAAATTTCCTCTTCAATAAAAGCTGTACTTCCAGTACATTCTGCAAGACCTTGGTTAGCTAGATTTTTTACTTTACCATTAAAATCTTACCACAGTTTATAATCTACTTTTTGTCTATTGAATGGCTTAGGAATTGTTGATTTTTCATTCAAAATGTCGATTTAAAGCATGAAGACAATTATTAACTGAGGAAGCATGATACTCAGTTCCATCTTGCTTTTTTATTGAATGAATAAAGCAACATAATTGGTCTTCTAATTCTTCTTTTGTAGTTATTTCTTCAATGAGGCCTTATTTTACATCAGAACGAAATTTTTCTAAGGCTCAAACCCATGTTAATGTTGAATAGCCGGTATTTTTACTATGATTATTAATGATAAGTTCGTTAAGGTCCTCTTCTGTAGGTTTCTCATAAGTAAAATTTTCCTAAAAATATAAATCGTTTTAATATGTTATTAAAATTTATAAACAAAAAGGTAAAAAATTATTTTACCATTTTTCGTGGTTTCTTAAAAGGTGGTTCCATTTTTTTTTTAAGAAAAAAAAATCTGGTTTGAAATAAACGAAAAGGAAGAGAATGATAAATAAACTAAAAAAAATGATGTATAAATGATAAAATAAATTATCTTTCCTTACATCATAATATTTTAGTCAACATCATAAAATCACACGAGATGATCGGTTAGATTTAGCCACTATAACTGATCATCATTATAAAATGGACAATAATTTTGATTTTTATCAACGCAAAGCACAATAACTTATAATTATAATGTAAGTAATTGATAAAATTAGCTTCTTATTGTAATTTTTGATGCCTATATTAATAAATCAATCAATGATCGAGCAATTAAAAATCGATATTTACTTTTGTTATTTGATCGAACAATGCAATCGATTAAGAAATCGGTCACACGTGATCAATTAAATAATTCAATTTTTTAATCATCGATTATGATTTTTTTTAATTAAATGCCCTACTTCCAATTACATTTTTGTTTGATTGTGAAGCCTCTTGTTTTCAACATTAGTCAATCTTTGCATCTTTTATAGATTCATTTACTTGATTCTGCTTAAAAAAACTATCAGTAATATAATCATATGATCCGTAATGTGATTTAATAGCAAACTTACCATATGCTTTGTTATGAAGGTGTGGTGATAGAAATTTTCCTTCATTTAAACCATCTTTTGGATAACGCATAGTTGTAATAAGGTGATTGGCTGCTGGGACCTTTTTATCAGACAACTGTTGAACAGCTTTATTCACTTAGTTTATCTCATTGTTACTTTTCTTTGCTTTTAACTTTTGAGCTTGAATTTCGCGTGCTTTTTTCAACTGACGAACGAGTCCTGAAATTGGAAACATTTCCCATTAAAAAATTCGAAATCTTAAAAATTCGATAACTTTGCATTCAGTTAGTATTCAAAAGTTAAATGAATACAGAATAACTTATAAAATAACGTGACACCTCGATTTTTTTAAAAATAAACAACAAAAAAAAAATTTTTACTTAGTGAGATATGACTTAAAACATTACTTTTTTTTAATTTTGAAGGTAAACGATATTTTTTTTTTTTTTTTTAAAAAAAAATAAAGAGCTGTCACATGCAATTCTAAATGTCTTAGAAAAGTTTGGAATGTAAATAACACGAAGAGTTCAAAGTTATGGAAGTTTGAAATTGCATCGATTTAGTAAGAAATTTATTATATAAAAAAATTCTCACTAAATTTATATGGGTCCATACATAGTTTTGATTAAATTAGTTGACCGCTCACCCAAATGTTTCAACCCTGCTCGATTAAATTTATTAATGTAGGCACTCTTCAATTCCTTTATATTTTTTGCACCTTTCCAGCTCTAACAATAAAATCATTTTTTTTACCTTCCGGATCTTTTTCCTGTTCTTTTCAGCAATTTTGGCAAAAAATTTTCTCTTTTCTCCTTTACCAAATCGCTTTTTTTTCTTTTCTCAGACTTCGAAATATCACTTCGAACAACTTTTATACCACTTATTTTTTAATTGTTATGATTTGTAATAATTTTGTGACGCTGCGCCGTCCTAATTATAAATTTGTTCGGTGATACCATTGTAAATTATAATGACGATCGTAATTAAATTAAAACTTTGTAAAATGCAAGTTTTAAAGTCTCATCGGAGCGCAAAATTATATTTATTTCATTTTCAGTACCATTACCACTATAGAATTTAGCAACAAAAAAAAATCACGTGATTTGGGAACTTTTATTTTTATATTTTTTTTTTTTTTGAGATATTAAAAAACAACGTAATATGATTAGTAAGGCTTGCATACGAGGCTGTTGTGGAACTTGTCCATCATCTGGTGACATTTTTCTACTCCAATCTTTTTAAGGATACATGGTATCTCAATCACTGCAATGTAACCAAACAATAACCGCACGCATAATTATATCTTATGTAAAAAAATTCTCTCGTAATCGTCTTTAAAGTGTTATCATGTTAATGAATTATTCAATGCATCTCGTATTATGGCTTTTAATTCAATTATTAGTTGAAGTAGAATGTCAAACGGCTCCTTTCAAGCCAGCACAACGCAGCGGCCATTCTGCTACACTTATTGACAGTAATTTGTATATCTTAGGTGGTCGAAATGAGGAGACTGAAAGAGTTGGAAGTGAATTTTTTTATCTTGACGTTTCTGTTTCATTTAATACTCAAAATATTTTGTGGCGTGATTTAACAAGCATTAATATAGTTCCAAAGCATAATGCAGCTGCATCTGTTAGTGGTGGTGAAAATAATAAAACCTTGTTTTTATACGGAGGAATTCCTTATTATAATGCAGCAATGGATTTAGTTTATACATTTGATACTCAAAGTAATTCGTGGAGCATTCCAAAAATAACAGGCGACAATATTGTTATGAAAAATAACCTAAAAGGAATTGTTAATGATTATGGGAAAATGTTTTTATTTGGTGGACTATTTAATGGCACTACTCAAAATGATATGCTTATTTTAGATACAAAAAATTTGAAATGGGAGTTAGGAAGTGCAATTAATGCACCTTCTCCAAGGGCTGTTTATGGTGCAACTTATGTATCAGAACAGCATATACTTTATCTAGGTAAGCGAATAATTATCATAATAGACACATGTTATGGTTATCCATTATTGCTATTATTATTTATTATTTAGGTGGCTTTTCTACCGCATCTAGTGTTGATGGTGCATCTTTATCATTGAAAGAGGTTAATTATTAAAACGATATACAACTTATAAATATTTGTTTATTATATTTCTTAATTTAACAATTTATTTAGATTTACTACTATGACATGGTTAAAAATTTGTGGCTGACAAGAGTATGTTTATTGACTTTTTCTTACTAATATTATTATACTAAGACTTTACCTATCTTTATTTAATGGAATCAGGCGACTTCTGGTACAATTCCTTCTGATAGAGATTCCTTTTCTTCGGTCCTTGGTAAGTATCATAAAATAATCTCATTATTTTGAACTTCAATTAATTTTAATATTATTCTTCTTGTTAATAAAGGTTTGGATGGACAAAAAGTAATAATCTTTGGAGGAATAAATAATATTAATAAACTCAAACCTCAGGATACTCTTTATGTATTGGACTTAATAAATTTTGAATGGTATATACCAAAAATTTCTGGAAGTATTCCAGGTTCTAGATATTGGCACCGAGCGAACGTAATTGAAAAATATATGGTTATATCATTTGGTAAATATCTATGTCTTTTTTCTTTTTGTCCTTTATTTTACTTTTTATGTACAAAATAAATTTATAATAATAATAAATCATTAGGATTTGGTTATAATAGAAATATTGACAATGATATCTTATTGCTTGATATAAGTAATGATGAAGAATATATGTGGACAAACATTTTCGACCCAAATAAGCTAAAGTCTCCTCCTTCTCCAACGGAATCACCAAAATTTTCACCTACTACTACTCCAATGCCAGTTATAATTGGAGTATCTATAGGAACGTGTGTAGTTGTTATTTCTCTATTAATTGGAGGCTTTTACTTGTATAAATGGAATAAAAATAGAACGGAAAATTCAAGAGCAATACCAACTCCTGGAAGTGAAGGTAATAACAATTTTAATCACGAAGCTTTAGAAATTCCTACCAGAAATAGTGTTTATAATTATGGACAAGAAACAATCCCAGCACATCAAAATGCTTATTATTATGGACAACGAATGTCATCGACACCGAAAACCTATTAGTAACCTTCAATTGTTGATGATAAGATTTCATTTCTTTAAAATTTCAGGATGTTAGATAACAGGTCTTTGAATAAAGCAGTAAATTTAGATTACTTTTTTTGTATGTTTTAATTCTTTTAAATGTAAAATTTATATATTATTTTTTTAATTTTACTTTAAAAAAAATTAAAATATACATAAAAGACTTAGAAGTAATATAATTTTAATGTATTGACGCTAATCCTTCTTATTGGAAATTGTTATAATGATAAAGTTAACTGACTGTCCTTCTAGATTGCGAAAACCTACGGAAGAATAATCTTAGACCGGACAAAAGCAAAGAACGTTAAATATGAATCAAATGTGTAGATAGTTATAAATTTTGAGTTTTAAACTATAGTTGAGCTAATATAGTTAAATTAAAAACTTTGTAAAATGTGTTTATTATCTTATCGTGAGAGAAAAAATATATTTATTATTTCATTTTCAGTAAATTGTTTTATTTAATATTACAATATTCCTTGCATAATTATTTAGCATTATTGAATAAGTTCATCAAACATTATTTTATATGGTGACTTTAAATCTGAGTTGTGTAAATGCTTACAAATCAGTAAATTACGGTAAAGATAATAAATAATTTTTAATTTTACATACTATGTAATTTATTTTTTTATTTCGCAAATATTCAGCGTAGCCTTAAAACATCAAATATGGCAAACAAAATTATGAGCAATTCGAAAGGATAATTTCATTATATACATAAATTATAAATATATTTATTGTGAAATCTCTTAATCATATTATATACTCAGAAAAACTTATAATATTGTAACTTTAAATATACAAACATATTTTGAAAATGAATTAATAAATACTAATGAGATTCAAAATGTTATGTTATTTATTTGCTAAAATTTCTTTAAAAAAAAATTGGCTTTAATTTAATGTAATACAAATTATATAATTAAATATAACAATAATTCATGTGATTTTGTGATTAATACTTGTTGTGGAACTTCATTATTGCTTGAAATTTTTAACTAGATATTATTTTAGTATTTCTTTGTTGATATAAAGGATATACCAATTTTAGTAACCAAATAATAACCGCATAATCACATCTTATGCAAAAAAAATCTCTTACTATTTTCTTTAAGCACAATCATATTAAAGAATTATTCAATACATCTCGCTTTGTGGCTTTTAATTCAATTATTAGTTGAAGTAAAATGCCAAACAATTCCTATTAATCCAACACAATAAAGCAGTCATACTGTTAAACTTATTAATAGTAATTTATATATCTTAGGTGATCAAAATATGAAGACTGGCAGGATTATAAATGAATTTTTTATCTTAACGTCTCTGTTCTATTTAATACTCAAATAAATTATAGTGTAATTTAATAAGTATTAATATAGTTCTAGATCATATTTTTGCAGCTTCCGTTAATAGTAACACAAATAATAAAACCTTAATTTTATATGAAGAATCAAGTGATAAAGTAATATCTTTAGTATATACATTTGATACTTAAAGTAATTCATAAAGTATTCCAAAAATAACAGGTGACAATATCATTAGGAAAAATAACTTAAAAGATATTATTAATGATTATGGAAAAATGTATTTTTTGGTAGACTATTTAATGCACTACTCAAAATAATATGCATATTTTAAATATGAAAATTTGAAATGGAGTTAAGAAGTGTAATTAATGCACTTTCTCCAAGAACTGTTTATAGTACAACTTACGTCTCAGATCAGCATATACTTTATTTAGGTAAGCAAATAATTATAATAATAAACACATGTTATGGTTGTTTTTATTTGCTATTATTATATTATTTAGGTGGCTTTTCTACTGTATCTAGTATTGATAGTGCATCGTTATCATTAAAAGTGGTTAATTATTAAAATGTTATATCTTTTATAAATTATCCTGATTTTCATTTTCTTGATCACTATTAATTTCAATCACATCAATCCTACTTTTTTTAACTTTTATATTTCTGCTTATTGCAACTTTTCATTTTATCCTTTTTTTTCTGATTTTTCTTGATTGCTTATAATTTGTATTAGAACTTTTTTTATTATAATTAAAAAATTAAATATAAATTATTAAATCATGAAATATTAGATTCTGAAAATAAAGGCTTACTTTTTATTTCTTTGAATATTTCTTTTTGTTTTCTGCTTATTAATTTCATATGAATTATAAGTAAATAATAAATTAATAAATAAATCATTATTTATTACTTATTAAATATTAATATTACTTTTTCATGTCATATTCCTTATTTGTCTTTTAATTTCACTTTTATCTTTTCTAGTATAAAGTATACCATATCTATCATAAGTTTCTGCTATTTTAAAAATTCTTTCATCCAAACACCTACCTCTAAATTATAATTAAAGAATTTAAAAATCGAAAATTTAAAAAATAAATTTAAATTTTAAAATAAAAAATTATTGCATGATTGCTATTAGAAGTTTTAATTGTTTTTCTTTCTGATTAGCTTGAGCATGTACTGCTTCAGTAATATTTGTATTATTTGTATAACATTCCCAAATTTCATTTTCCATATTTGAAACTTATTTATTTAATAATACTAAAACATAAGGTTGTTGATAATATTTGACTCAATCTATCTAATTAATAATAAAACTTATTATTAAATTTTAAAAATTAAAATAAATCCAAAAAAATAAATAATTACCTGTTATATAAACATCATTATAAGTTTCTAATTTTTTAAAACAATCATAAACTTCTTTAGCATTTGAAATATATGAAATTGATGATGCTAACTGATGAACTATATGGTCAAATTTTTTAGCTATTAAATTACTTAAAGTAGAAATGCAATATTAGTAATAAATTTAATAAATTTAATAAATTAAATTTTTAAAAATTTACTAAGTAAAATGAATCAAACATAATTTAAAAATATATGTTAAATATGATTCCCAATCTTTACTAGAATCTCTTTTTGTTAAAGCTAAATCTAATCCTTTTGCTTGCCTTACATCAAGATTAGCAAGAATACATTCTCAACCTAATTCATTAATATGATAAAATTTCATAGGTGTTCTACTTAAACTTTCTATCTCTTCAA